GTATGTCTGAAGCCAAATGAAATTAAATGATTTATGCAATAGAAGAGCAAATGCAGCATGAGGAAAAAACAAAAAAGTTCTTGACAATCCTTCAACATGATCATAGAAATTCCTACTCTGTGAAACAATTAATGTCAGAGATAGCATGATTTTAAAAAGATTAAAAAAAAAACAATGAAATGACTTTCAATGGGCTGAAACCACATTTCCGGTATTAACTTCCTGGTGTCCCAATTAGCTAGCTCATCTTTTGTAAACTCACTGATTAGATTTTTGTTTTTAAAACTTGCTTTTGAGGCAAGGTCACACCTTAGATTAAGATATCAGTTTGAGCATTAAGCATACAGTAGTATCTATTTGAATTATTAGTTATCTTTGTACACACAGCACTAGCAGATTATATATTACCATACTGATCTTTAATTATACTATTTTACACAATTAATATTGAAAAATGTTTAAATAATAATTTATATAATTCCTCTTCCTCCTTTATTTTCCAGCACTGCACTTAATTGTGAAGTCTACATTAAATTCACAGGTTTCAGAGTAGCAGCCATGTTACTCTGTATCCGCAAAAAGAACAGGAGTACTTGTGGCACCTTAGAGACTAACAAATTTATTAGAGCATAAGCTTTCGTGGGCTACAGCCCACTTCACTGGATGCATAGAATGGAACATATAATAGCCACCCTCTCTGTATGTGTGTATGTGTGTCTATATATATATATATATATATTCTTACTATATGTTCCATTCTATGCATCCGATGAAGTGGGCCCACAAAAGCTTATGCTCTAATAAATTTGTTAGTCTCTAAGGTGCCACAAGTACTCCTGTTCTTTTTATTAAATTCTGCATTCAAATTCCTCCTTCTGTGTTTCAGGTTCCAAGTCTGAAGCAAACTTCCTGATATTCCTACCTGGAATGCTGTGAAATTTGCCCTTTCATGTTATATATTTACACTTTCGTGTTTTCAGTTCACAAATCAAGACAATTACTACAATATATTTTGCTCCCAGAGCTGCCTCATTTGTACAGTTCAAACTGTCCTTTCCATACACACCATCCTAAACAAAACCTTTAAAATTAGACTTTATTAGCAGGATGTAGTAGGAGTCAGTATTTAGAAAGACAAGTTGTGAACTGAAAACAGCATACAACCTTGATTAATTCAGGAAACGAAAACTAATTTAATTTAATTTAGTTTAGTTTAGACTGCAGCTCCCGAATATTTCTGTAATATAGTATAACAAACTTTTTTTAAAAGAATGCAGCTTCTGAAGATATAAGGGCTGCAGCTATACTAGTACACTTCAGACCCTTAATTCAACACAGGGCAGATCTATCACTGGGTGCCAGATGGCTTTCTATAATATAGCTTCCACCATGGAGCTGCACCTATGCTGAATTATGGCTATGTGGCTTGCCAGTGTAGATGAGGTCAAGCAGGTCTGAGGTCCAAATTCCAGAACATGGAGACTTGAGGAGCTAAACTACAACTCTTTGGCTCTCCCCTATTCCCCCCCAATGTTTTTTTAAATGTCTCTCATGATGAGGCAACTGATACTTGATTTATGTACCTTTTATTCCAGTAATCATAGCTTTTTGAGAATTGAGGATTACAAGGGTTAGAAAAAGCTTTCAACTTCTGTATTTTAAAATATTTTTAGTCCACTAACTTCTTGACACAACTGTTGCTTCTTTATTCCAATAAAAGTAGCAGATTACTGATCCAAGATTAACTATGTCCATTCTTTGAAATCTTACCTAAACTAGTCTAATGTCCATATCAAAATACCACTGTTGACAAGTTGGTTTGTTTTTTAATCACACTGTTTCAAATACGTTCTTGATATTTTTTGATTTGTTAATTATATTTAAGATTACAATAAAATAAAATGTTTGGGTCAAACTTTGTCATAATATTTCTGTTCAGTTCTAAATTTTGAAAGCATTACACACCCTAGGCATACTACACAAATTTACCCTGCCAAGAAAAGTAATGCTAGAAGAATGCTCAGCTGACATAAAACTGTAGGCACACATCTCCTTTTTTTCTTTTCTTTTTGGCATGTTATATGTTTTTGAGAATGAGAAAGCAAAACTCAAATCTGCATTAGAATTATTAGTATGGAAGTAACATTACCCAATGAACCCATGTGTGGAAATCTGTACTATCCAGTCTTTGCATTAATTTTACAATTAATTTATTTTCTCTCCTCTCTTGTACCTCAACTATACAATACATTGATTTGGGCCTCATATTTTAGATAATCTCACTGAACTGCATACCTACACCTGCATTTTTGTTATTCTTGTTGAAACCACCATTACCTCCGTAAGAGCCACATTTGAAGCTAGTCAGAAAAAATAAACAGAACCAAACTAATGAGCTGCAGTGATGCTGTCACTCATTACATGGTTTTCAGGCCTTTCCAAGTTGCAGGGAGTTGTTAGAAGCACCAACAAATTAAAAAGGGTTTTTAAAAATCAGTTTCCTTTTAAATTTAAGATTCCTATTGTGCTGATGTCTGGCCTGAAGAGATTCCCAGATCAATCAGTTCTGGAAACCTCAAGCTTCCTTCACAGATACCTAATGTGGGGAAACAGAACATCATTAAGTTTTCTGTTAATCATAAAAATAATTTAAAAACGTAACACACAACTATCAGAAAAGGAACTAAACTAAAAGCTCCATAGAGCAAACTGAATGCCATTGAATGTCTCCTTAAATACTGGCAATTAATGACAATATATATTCAGCATACAGAATGTGTACACCAACACTCCCACCAATGACTGGGGGAGAAGAGAAGACTAGCAGTCTGTGAGAGTCGAATTCAGTGAAGAAGTTCACCACCGTCAAGTACTGGAGGAGTGATTTTAGAGAGGATGTAATCAAGTGGCCAGGAGTGTGGAGGAATAAAACTCAGTGTCCAACTTTAGCAGAGATGGAGGAATTTACTTTTGCGTGGTAGAATTCAAAAGCAGGCAAAGAGAACAGGGAGGGTTCTAGCCTAGTATCTAGGTGAAGGACCAGGACAGAGGAAGGTAGCCAGGCAAAGAAGCAAGTTCTTGCTCAGTAGGTAGGTACAGCAGAACAAGCTAGGGAGATTGGCGATTTTCTATAGGTTTATCACCACAGTATCTGAGCACATCACAAACACTGATCAATCCTCAAAACCCATGTGAGGCAGGGACCTGAGGCACAAACAGATCAAAAACCACGCCTGAAACTGGGACAATGCGGGGAACTGAACTCAGAACTCCTGAGTCTGTCCAGCAACTTAACCAAAATGCCACTCGGGTCCAGCAGCAGAGAGGTATATGCAAGGGTGTGTGCAGGGGCATAACGCAGGGGCCTGGGGCAAGTGCAGTAACGGGGAGGGGGAGACTATGGGTCTAGCACAGAGCTGGGCAAACTATGGTCAGCGGGACCCTCCTGCCCAACCCCTGAGCTCCTGGCCCGGGGGGCTAGTCCCCAGCCCCTCCCTGCTGTTCCCCCTCCCCTCCAGCCTCAGTGCGCCGCTCTGGGCGGCCAGGCAGCGCAGTTGCAGAGCTGCAGCCTGACGGTGCTCTGGTGCAACTGTACTGTCGCCAGCCACCAGTGCTCCGGGCAGCACAATAAGGGGGGATTAGATAAAGGGCAGGGGAGTTCGGGGGTGTGGACAGGGGTCAGAGTGCGGCAAACAGGGGGGTTGAATAGGGCAGGGATCCCGGGGGAGCAGTCAGGAATGAGAGGGGGGCTTGGATGAGGCAGCAGGGGGCAGTCAGGGGTGGGAGGTCCGGTGGTGGTCAGGGGACAGGGAGCAAGGGGTGGTGGATGGGGCAGGAGTCCCGTGGGGCTGTCAGGGAACAGAGGGGGGTTGGATGGGGCGGGAGTCCCGGGGCAGTGGTCAGGGGGCAAGAAGCAGAGGACAGGGGGTTTGGATAGGAGGCGAGGGCTGGGCCACACCTGGCTGTTTGAGGAGACTTTACTGGTCCTCCATACAATTTTGGAAACCCAGTGTGGTCCTCAGACCAAAAAGGAATCTCAGGGGGGCCGTCAGGGGACAGGGGAGTTGGATGGGGCAGTGGGGGGGGAGGTCCGGGGGTGGTCAGGGGACAGGGAGCAAGGGGTGGTGGATGGGGCAGGAGTCCCGGGGGGCCGTCAGGGAACGGGGGGGGGCGGGTTGGATGGGGCAGGAGTCCCAGGGGAGCGGTCAGGAGACGAGAAGCGGGGGTGAGGGGCGTTGGATAGGGGGCGGGGTCACACCTGGCTGTTTGGGGAACCGGCCCTCCATACAATATTGGAAACCCGATGCGACCCTCAGGCCAAAAAGTTTGCCCGCCCCTGGTCTAGCACGGGAACGGGTGCAGTTAAAGCAGCAAGGGGGCGTGTGCAGGTGCCTCCCCAGTAACTGGGTATGGCAGCAGCCGCCTAGGGAAGGGGAACGGGCCGGCTCAAGCCCACGAGCCGCCTGCAAGGCCAGCACGGGAAAGGGCCCGGCCCAGCGGCCAGGCGCGGACCCAGCCCAGCAGGCAGGGGCGTGCGGAGGGCGCCAGCGCGGCGGGCCGAGGGGAGGCTGGAGCGCGCAGCTCCGTGGCCCGGCGCAGCAGCGGCGTGTGCAGCGCACGGGGGAGGCGCGCCAGGGCCAGGCCCTGTGGTACCGCAGCCCTGGCAGGAAGGGGAGCCCCCCGTGCGGCCGAGGGCAGGCTGCGCCCAGCCTCTGCGCCCACGCAGCAGCCGAAGCCCGGGGGCGCTGCGGCCCCTCGCTGTGCGCAGGGGCCAAGGTCACGGCACACGCCCCAGCCCCCGCGGGGACAGTGGGGCCCGGGCGGGGGAGGAAGGGAAGGCTGCAAAGGGAGAGCGGCCGCCGGCCTCCTGCTCTCCCCCGGCCCCGTTAGGAGAGCGGGCGCGGTGCCCGTGGCCTCGGCGGACCCCAGTCGGGCTGCGCCCGGTGCCGCTGCAGGGCGCCGCACGGGGCAGCAGCGGGCGCGGGGCGCGATGCTCTCACCTGGCGCGGGGGCCCCGCCGGGGCGGAGGCGGCGCAGCAGCTGGTGCAGGGCGACGGCGAGGCCGATGCAATAGAGCCGCAGCGCGGGCAGCGCCCGAGACAATAGCGACATGGCTGCCTCCCGCCCCTCGGCGCGGGGACGAGGCCCCGGCGCGCCTCTGTGTGTGTGTGTGTGTGTGTGTGTGTGTGTCTCTGCTCCGGGGCTGGGCGGACGCGGCGCTGCTGCAGAGCCCACACCCAGCGGAAGGGAAAGCGCCGCCGCTGTCACAGGCTGCACGGCCCGGACGCTCTGCCGCTCGCTTCTGGGCATGTGCGCGGCCACCCCGCGTCAGGGCGGGGGAAGGGGAGAGCGGCCCCTGAGCCCCGTGCCTCCAGTGGCGCCCTAGGCGCCGAGCGGGCGGGTGGCGGGGAGACGATGCCACCCGAGTTGGGGAGAGATGCAGCCAGGGCTGCGCTAGCTGCCAGGGAGGCGGGAGGTGCAGGGGCCAGCTGGCCGGGGCCCGGTTGTTTTTGGATTTGCCGAGGAGTCAGGCTGGAGAACTGAGCAGCCGGAAAGTAATGGGGCCCTGTGGGTGCCTCCTGAAAGGGAGCTCTGAGCCTGGGCCCCCAGCCATGAAAATGAGGCCAGAGCCGGCTGCCCTTACATTGTAAAGTGTGCGCAGACTGGAAAGCGGACATACATTTTTAACAGCAAGGGTAATAAACCCTGGGATCAAAATTAAGAAGGGTTGTGGTGGAGTCTCCATCACAGGCAATTTTTAAACCAAGATTGGATTAAAAAACCCAACATGCTCTAGGAATTATTTTGGGAAAGTTCCAAGGGCTGTGGTACACAGGGTGTCAGACCAGGTGATCACAGTGGTGCCTTCTGCCCTTGGATGTACCATAATACAGAATTTAGGTGTTATGTGACCCAGTGAAACTGAACAATGCTGCCCCCTTACCTTATCCGCACCTCCCCCTTTTGCCCCTTCCTTTCTGCCTCTATTTGTAACCTTGTGTTCCATCATGACATAATGTTGGAGTTTATGATCTTATACATCATAGTCATGAAAACAAGATTGTCAAGGACTTCCAGGATCCTCTAGTCCAAGGGCTCTCAGGACAAATTTTTTGATGGCTCAGAGTGTGGCCACCAATTCTTGCTGAAAGAAAAGGAGTACTAGTGGAACCTTAGAGACTACCCAATTTATTTGAGTATAAGCTTTCGTGAGCTACAGCTCATTTCATCGGATGCATTCAGTGGAAAAAACCAGTGAGGAGATTTATATACACACAGAACATGAAAAAATGGGTGTTATCATACACACTGTAAGGAGAGTGATCACTTAAGATGAGCTATTACCGGGGGGAACCTTTTGTAGTGATAATCAAGGTGGGCCATTTCCAGCAGTTAACAGAAACGCCCCAGGAGCAGTAGGGGGTGGGGGTGGAGAAATAAACATGGGGAAATAGTTTTACTTTGTGTAATGACGCAGAGAGACTGAAGTGTTCTCCGACTGGTTTATGAATGTTATAATTCTTGACATCTGATTTGTGTCCATTTATTCTTTTATGTAGAGACTGTCCAGTTTGACCAATGTACATGGCAGAGGGGCATTGCTGGCACATGATGGCATATATCACACTGGTAGATGTGCAGGTGAACGAGCCTCTGATAGTGTGGCTGATGTGATTAGGCCCTGTGATGGTGTCCCCTGAATAGATATGTGGACACAGTTGGCAACGGGCTTTGTTGCAAGGATAGGTTCCTGGGTTAGTGGTTCTGTTGTGTGGTGTGTGGTTGCTGGTGAGTATTTGCTTCAGGTTGGGGGGCTGTCTGTAGGCAAGGACTGGCCTGTCTCCCAAGATTTGTGAGAGTGATGGGTCGTCCTTCAGGATAGGTTGTAGATCCTTGATGATGCGCTGGAGAGGTTTTAGTTGGGGGCTGAAGGTGATGGCTAATGGTGTTCTGTTATTTTCTTTTTTGGGCCTGTCCTGTAGTAGGTGACTTCTGGGTACTCTTCTGGCTCTGTCAATTTGTTTTTTCACTTCAGCAGGTGGGTATTGTAGTTGTAAGAATGCTTGATAGAGATCTTGTAGGTGTTTGTCTCTCTCTGACGGGTTGGAGCAAATGCAGTTGTATCGCAGAGCTTGGCTGTAGACAATGGATCGTGTGGTGTGGTCAGGGTGAAAGCTGGAGGCATGTAGGTAGGAATAGCGGCCAGTAGGTTTCCGGTATAGGGTGGTGTTTATGTGTTGCTGGTGGCTGTTCTCACACTTTTCCCTAAATAATTAGCTTTAGGAAAAACAAATAAATATTTAGCAATACATGTCCAAATCATTGTAATCTATTTATTGTTAGCTAGTAAGTCTGTTGTGAAAAGTGATATTAACAAACATGAAAGTATCGCTTTTCACAGCAGACTTACTCAGCCCTGCCAAGCCTGGGGACAAATTAAGCCCTGGATGGGGGGGCGGGGGGAGGCAGCAGGGGCAATGGCAGTTGGTGGGTGGGGAGCAGGGGGCTGAAGCCTGAAGCCCTGCGGCCAGAGCCTGGGGCCTGCCGCCACACAGCCAGAGCTGGAGCCCAAAGCCCCTCAGCCAGAGCCTGCCGCTCCACCACCCCAGAGATGAGACCCAAAGCCTGAGCCCCCTGCGAAAATGGGGAACTCACTGGCTGCCTGCTCCTCCAGTGTTGTGCCCCAAGTGTCTCCAGAGTGGGACAGAGCCCAACTCCTGCTGGGGGTCCCAGCCATCAACACCAAGGCAGGGCATCCAGGAACAACAGGCAGGGGGAGGAGCCACTATTTAACTACCCACCCCAGCCCAGGAGGCTGTGGGCGCAAGAAAAGCCCCAGGTGGTCACATGCGGCCACAGTGGCTGGCATTTGAGAAACACTGACCTAGTCCATCTAAAACGATTTTAGCAGCTGCTCTTTGAAGGGATTAGAGAGCTCAGGGGACCAGAGTCAGGGAGTCCAGAGATGGGGAGGTTACAATAATCAAGACAGAAAATGAAGAGTGTCTGGACAAGAGGTCCTGCTGTGTGGACAGAAATAAGAGGCCCATTGTAGAAGTGCTTTGGAGGAAGAAGTGGCAAGAACTGAACGTAGTCTGGCTTTGTAGGATAAGAGGCCCATTGTAGAAGTGCTTCGGAGGAAGGTACAGGGAGGTGTCAAACATGATTTTTGCATTACAGGTCTCAATTACAGACAGCATAGCAGTGTTGTCAGCAGTGACAGAGTAAAGAAAGTAGAGAATATTTGGGAGGAAAGAACAGGAGTTAAGTTTTTGCCATTTTGTAGAGAGACTGTCTCTACGTAAAAGAATAAATGGACACAAATCAGAGGTCAAGAATTATAACATTCAAAAACCCGTCAGAGAACACTTCAATCTCTTTGGTCACTCGACTACAGACCTAAAAGTGGCAATTCTTCAACAAAAAAACTTCAAAAACAGACTCCAACAAGAGACTGCTAAATTGGAATTAATTTGCAAACTGGATACAATTAACTTAGCTTGAATAAAGACTGGGAGTGGACGGGTCATTACACAAAGTAAAACTATTTCCCCGTGTTTATTCCTCCTCCTATTGTTCTTGTAAAGTGCTAGAAATGGCCCACCTTGATTATCACTACAAAAGGTTCTCCCCACCCCTGCTCTCCTGCTGGTAATAGCTCATCTTACCTGATCACTCTTGTTACAAAGTGTATGGTAACACCCATTGTTTCATGTTCTCTGTGTATATAAATCTCTCCACTGTATTTTCCACTGCATGCATCTGATGAAGTGAGCTGTAGCCCACGAAAGCTTATGCTCAAATAAATTTGTTAGTCTCTAAGGTGCCACAAGTACTCCTTTTCTTTTTGGGGATACAGACTAACACAGCTGCTACTCTGAAATCAGCAACAAGAGTTCTCTGTATCTGAAATAGGAGCTTTTTTTGAGTCAATCCAGTGATGCCATCTGTTTCTTTTTATACAGTGTCTATCACTGTGGAATCTACTGTAAATATCTACCTGGTAGAATGAATGTCCATAGCCTATGCTAAGATAAACCAACATCTTCATGACAAATCTGCCGCGCATTAAGGGTTTACCAAGTTATCTCACTAGTTTCCAACTTTGAGACACAAGTCAGTGGCTTTGGCCCAATAAAACAAGCATTGGTCATTTCAGGCAAAAATTGTGTCACCTTGGACACCAGACACCCTTGAATGATCTTTCTTACCGGGAAGCCCAAGTAGTCACATAAATACGTTAATTTAGTTTGCCTTCTAATTTGAGTACCATATAGCTTTGAATCACTATCCATAAGTTTCTGCCATAACAGATGACTACATTTCATTGCAGCCATGTGCCCAGAATTCTCAATATGATGACATTTCGTAGAAGCAAGCTACAAGTTGTCCTCAGTTTTCAATTTTAAATCTCCAATTAATTTTTTTTATATGATCATCACTTGAGACAGAATGACAAGGCCTATGTTCCTATGCTTCTAAGTTCCAAAAAGCAGCTAATCAGAAGTCTTAAATTAATCATAAATAACAATTAGGGCTGTCAAGCAATTAAAAAATTAATTGCAATTAATCATGCAATAAAAAGATTAATCGTGATTATTCGCACTGATTATAGAATACCATTTATTTAAATAGTTTTGGATGTTTTCTACATTTTCAGATATATTGATTTCAATTACAACACAGAATACAAAATGTACAGTTCTCACTTTGTATTTATTTCTGATTACAAATATTTGCACTGTAAAAAACAAAAGAAACAGTATTTTTTCAGTGTACCTAATACAAGTACTGTAGTGCAAGCTTTTTATCCTGAAAGTTGAATTTACAAATGTAGAATTATGTACAACAAATAACTATTCAAAAGTAAACAATGTAAAACTTTAGAGCATACAAGTCCACTTAGTCCTATTTCTTGTTCAGCCAATTGCTCAAACAAGTTTGTTTACATTTGCAGGAGATAATGCTGCCCGCTTCTTGTTCACAATGTCACCTGAAAGTGAGAACAGGCATTCGCATGGCACTTTTGTAGCCGGCATCACAAGATATTTATGTGTCAGGTGCACTAAAGATTCATATGTCTCTTCATGCTTCAACCATCATTCCAGAGGCCATGCGTCCATGCTGATGACAGTTTCTGCTCAATAACAATCCAAAGCAGTGCAGACCGATGCCTGTTCATTTTCATCCTCTGAGTCAGATGCCACCAGCAGAAGATTCATTTTCTTTCTTCATGGTTTGAGTTCTGTAGTTTCCACATCGGAGGGTTGCTCTTTTCAGACTTCGGAAAGCATGCTCCACAACTCGTCCCTCTCAAATTTTAAAGGCACTTCAGATTCTTAAACCTTGGGTCAAGTGCTGTAGCTATCTTTAGAAATCTCACATTGGTACCTTCTTTGTGTTTTGTCAGATCTGCAGCAAAAGTGTTCTTAAAACGAACACTGAGTCATCATCCAAGACTACTATATGAAATATGTGGCAGAATGCAGGTAAAACACAGCTGGAGACATACAGTTCTCCCCCGAGTTCAGTCACAAATTTATTTAACGCATTATTTTTTTAACGAGCGTCATCAGCATGGAAGCATGTCCTCTGGAATGGTGGGCGAAGCATGAAGGGGCATACGAATGTTTAGCATATCTGGCATGTAAATACCTTGAAATGCCAGCTACAAAAGTCTCATGTGAACACCAGTTCTCACTTTCTGGTGACGTAAATAAGAAGTGGGCAGCATTATCTCCCATGAATGTAAACAAACTTGTTTATCTTAGTGATTGGCTGAACAAGAAGTAGGACTGAGTGGATTTGTAGGCTCTAAAGTTTTGCATTGTTTTGTTTTTGTGTGTAGTTATGTAACAAAAAAAATTGACATTTGTAAGTTGCACTTTCAGGATAAAGAGATTGCACTACAGTACTTGTATTAGGTGAATTGAAAAATACTATTTCTTTTGTTTATCATTTTTACAGTGCAAATATTTGTAATAAAAAATAATTATATAAAGTGAGCAGTGTACACTTTGTATTCTGTGTTGTAATAGAAATCAATATATTTGAAAATGTAGAAAAACATCCAAAAATATTTTACAAATTTCAATTGGTATTCTATTGTTTAATAGTGCAATTAAAACTGCATTTAATCACGATTATTTTTTTAATCACAGTTAATTCGTGTGATTAATCAACAGCCCTAATAATAATCATTAGCATTTTTATACACAGATCTCAAATTGCTTTAGAAATATAGGTGTCATTCATTCCCAGTTTACATAACACGTAATTATGACATGAGGAATTAAGATGGCAATAATTTCAATAGAGGTAGACTTTAACAGTATATTTAACTAAGAAGTCTTTTAATATTTTTTTCTTTCTTGTTTTTTCTTCTAAGAAAGAGCTCTTGGAGTCATCATGGATAGCTCTCTGAAAACATCTGCTTAATATGCAGTGGCAGTCAAAAAAACTATCAAAATGTTAGGAACCATTAGGAAAGGGATAGATAATAAGACAAAATATCATAATGCCATTATATAAATCCATGTTACACCAACACCTTAAATACTGCATTCAGTTCTGGTCTTCCCATCTCAAAAAAAGATATCTTGAAATCAGAAAAAAGTACAGAGAAGGGCAACAAAAATGGTTAGGGATATGGAACAACTTCCATATGAGAGGAGATTAAGAAGACTGAGATTGTTCAGTTTAGAAAAAAGACAACTAAGGGCTTGTGTACACTTATAGGGCTGCAGCGGAGCAGCTGCAGTACTTAATGAAGATGCTGCTTACTCCCTTTGTGTAGGTACTCTATCTCCCAAAGATGTGGTAACTATGACAACAGGATAAGCCCTCATGTCAACATAGCATTGTCTACATCGAGAGTTAGGTCAATATAACTGCATCACTCAGGGGTGACGTAGTTATACCAACATAAGTTTGTAGTGTGGACCAGGGGTAAGGAGGGGTATAATAGAGGTCTATAAAATCATGAATCATAAGGAGAAAGTGAATAAGGAAATATTATGTACCCTTTCACATAACACAAGAAACAAGGGTTACCCAATGGAATTAATAGGCAGCAATGGAATTAAAACAAACATAAGAAAATACTTCTTCACACAACACACAGTTAACCTGTGGAACTCTTTGCCACAGGATGTTGTAAAGGCCAAAAGTTTAACTGGGTTCAAAAAAGAATTAGATAAGTTCATAGAGGTTAGGTCCATCTGACTGCCAGAAACTGGGATTGGACCACTCAAAATGTTGGGGATTATAGATCGGTA